TATATATATATATATATATATATATATATATAAATTTTTATTATATTATATAATAAATAAATTGATGACTCTAATAAACTTTTATTTTTATTTTTATTTTTATTTATAAATTTAACTTCAACTTTTCAATAAATTTTTTTAAAAAGTTTAATTTAATTGTTTTACCAAATAGGCCGTACTTTAAAAATCACATGTCATCATATGCCTATGATTCGATTCTCATCACTAATCTAGATTTACTCCTGTAAACTTAAACCCATCTACACGGATTACATGATCCATCGGGTCGAATGATTTGAATACCTTCGAATTTGGGTAAATGTGCTGCACCCACAACAACGGAACCTTCGCTGATCCTTTTTGGTGTTTGTATCAAGGTCACTCACGAAAATTCCCCCAAACCACATTTTATTGAGTTGCCTGAGTCTCAAGACGCCAAATAAACGACATTAACACAAGCAAGCCATTGCTCAGTCTTCGAGCCATTGCTCGTCACTTCGCATTTCTCCCACACTTCGTGCTAGTGGCCACCGTTAGATGTAGATTTTCACTCGCATCAGGTTCCTAAAAAATGCGTTGTTTCACCGTTTTATGCCTAGGCAAGTCCTTGAATCGTTATTCTTTGGTTTACCGAAACAATTGATCGTTAAAATGCTGTGAATTTTGTTTCTTATTTTCTTGGCGTGTTTCAGGTGTGCTTTTGCAGATGCCATGGGTGGCTTCAATTTCGATGCCGACTTCCAACTGCTACGCTTTCAACAATTCTAGTCGGATCGTTGATTTCGTATCCTTTTTATGCACTTTTATTGAGGATTGCATTTGGATATTCGTAATAGCAAATGGGTAATTCATGGGTTGTTCCGGTGCTCTAGGATCGAATAAATAATGCTTGGCCAGTGTAAGCCAAATTAGTCCTAATTGTGAGCTTTGAGATATTGAGTGTATCATGTAGATGGACAAAATAATTCATGGATTTAGGTTTTAGTATAGATGAATTGTTAAAGGTTATTAATTAATGATACTGGCACAGTTAATTATGTTTTGGTCTTGTTATCTATTAGCATGTTTTTTACTTAACCGGTTAATTAGAGTAGCTGGACTGGTTACCTTTTTGAGTATGAAGTGAAGGTAATAATCTCAGACAGTTATTATGTCCATTATATATGAATTACCTTGTTCATGTGTTCAATTTTTGGCTTATGCATGCTGCTAAGTTATTCACTTTGTGTGGATGCAGCAAGGTACTGACTTGGCCGTACGGTTTTGCAAAGATGTGGAGAGTAGAACGCAAACGGTAGTTCATGTCACCATGCTTTCAAGTTCTTTGTTCATTATTATGTGCTCTGGTTCTTCCCCTTCCCCTCTTTTGGGCTTGTTTTATCTAACTAAGAACATGTTCATTTTGTTTTTTTTTTTTACATTTTTTGATCCTCTTGATATATTTGGTATCAAACACTTGAGGCATTATCTCTATAGGAGAATGTGAATCATAAATCATATTTAACTTGGTCTGGATTATTATAAATCTTAAAAGAGATTGCTACAGCAATCCATTATTTGATTCATTCATCATATGCTGTATGGTTAACTTACAAGTTGATTATATGTTTTACTTCAATTTATTTATTGTTCCGTCTCTTATGAACTGAGGACTGAAATTGAATAGACTAATTTTACTTAATTCTTTTTGGGTTTCTGCACATGGTTTTATGAGGAGAGTTTCTCATAGATTGGGGAGGGATGAGGACACTCTAGGCTGATGTACTTTTTGTTTCTATGTCCTTCTCCACCTGCAATTTTAAAAAATAGTTGTAGGTAGATTGTATGATATTTATTCGTGTCTTTCATTATTTATTAAAAGGTTGATGTGCCGATTGTTCCTTGAAAGTTTTTTTCACAGCTATCTGAATGTATAATGACTTCAAAACTTTAGGTTAACCTGCAGAAATTGTGGATCTTATATCTGACCTAGATTGATCTAAATCTGAGTTTCAATCAGGTCATAGATGTCATGTATGTGGTGAATTGTTATTTCTGGGACCTTTGTTTTTCTTTTTTTCTTATCTTATCTTTTTGTTTTTTTTACAAACTTTATCTATTAAGGCATGCTCATTTTATTTGATGTAAATGTAATATATTATTCACTTCATTACCTGATGTGAAAAACTATCCAGGGATATGTTGATTTTGGCCGATTTGATAAGTTCAACTACTTTGTTTCTGGTACCGGCCAATCTGACTTTATACAAGTAAGTTCTTTCTGTCTGTTCTATATTTTGGGTGTACAAAATAAAAACCATGAGTAAGGATACTTCTTGGGCATCAGTTCTCCATGGGAGAAAACAAGAGATATGGTGAAATCTGTGTTTTACACAGCAATGGGGTATGTGTGTGTGTATATAAATATTATCGTTATCCTAATTACTATAAATAAACAATTTCTTGAACTCAGGTTACCCCTAGTTACATTATTTCCAAAATTTTTCTTCTACTTCCACTTTCTATTTGAGCTTTTGCCAGTAAGAATACCTATTAGTGTCAAACCCATCTGCAAGATGTTAAATGTGTGGGGATAATATTAAGATTGAAAGCAGAAATGGTTCTAGAAGCATGCAGGTCTTTTTCTGGTCACTTAGCAGTGTTTTAATTCTAAGGAAAAAAATTCAACTTGTAAGAGTAGTTAATATTCAAAAAATGGAACTTCAAAAGTTGCAATCTCCTTTGTGGTCAATGTGAGACCACACGGATCTCTGGTAGAGAATTGCAAGTACTAAGCTAAGTGCATAGGTAGAGTCTCATGAGTATGACACTTGGACTATAAATATAGTTTCAAACTTTATTTTTTACATTTTGCTCCTAGATCTCATCCTTTCTCCTTTTTAATACCTCATTCCCTGCTTTCTAAGCCATTTTCACTTTGTGTAGGAGTTTTATAATGGTGATCTTATGAGTTGCGAACAAAGTTATGACAAAATGGGACGAACAGCTCAGGTTAGTGCAACTTTGAAATTTCCATTTTTTTTTAAATCAATTAGATCCACGACTTTAGAACATGGAGAGGGCTTATCTTATGAAAAAAGGGGACATGACCAAGCACAAGCTCCTAGGTAGGAATTGTGTGGTTGTGATAAAATTTAGCACTTTGTTGATTATCAAGCATAGAGACACAATTAAGCAATAATTGAAAAAAACCAACCCTAAATGAGCTAGTGTATTAAGAAGTGGTAATGTAAACATTTAAGGAGAGGGAAAAAAAGGAAGTGCATTAAAACAAGGATAAAAATGGAAGAAAAAATTACATGCTTATAAGCTATCTGCTAGTGAAATAAGCTTGTTTACCAAATACCTTAACTTGGTAAAAAAAAGGCTTATAATTTAGTCAAATAAGTTAGAAGCTAGCTTATTTGACATGCGAAATGTACTTATTGGTTTTGGTCTCTTGCATAATTTTTGGACTGTAAGAAATATGGGCTTCTTTATCATGATGTTTGCGTCATTATGTGGTGCATTGACCTTTCACATTTTACATTCACGTCTTTCAGGTAAATATCATATGTGGGAGTTGTTTGAATGGACAATGTAAAGGTAAGACCATATTTTGAGATATTAGTTTGTGCTACTTGAAATGTGAGCTTGAATAATGCTCCTTCCCTGATTCATTTCCACTCTCAATTTCCTTTTGTTTTGTGGACTATCTTTATGGTTTGTTTTGAAGTACAAGTTATTGAAGTGTTCAGGATAAAAAAAATTCTGAAAATACTAGTAAAAATACTTTTGAGGTAGATAACTACAAATCATTGAGTGATCTGTGCTAAGTAGAATTTCTCCACGATGTTGGTCATAAATTGTCTTAGTGCCATATTGAAAAGACACCTGCTATTTTAAATCCTGTTTCACGTAGCATATCACATGCTATTTTATTTTTTCTCATTGCAGGTCTTCCTGGATGCATATGTAATGTTACATTTGAATCAAACTGCAGGTCTTTGTTACTTTATCCTTTTCTGAGCTATTTTTTTCATTGTAAAATACAAATGCCAAAAACTTTCATTTGTGTTTCTTACTAATTTAGCCTTTGCCTATGTGCTTTTCTTTAAGTTGGAACTTTGAAGGCAATAATACTGTAGATTTGAAGGCTCCTCTTGTTACTCCCTCCCATCTAAACTTAACTTTTAGGTTTAAATGAGAAATTAACCCAATTGGGTTTTGGATGCTTGTTTTTTTTTTTTTTTTTTCATTTGATGTCAATCCCTATTTTGCCACATTTTTTTATTGATCTTTACCATTAAGGTATTAGTCCATGTTTTTTCTTCTTTATTTAGGCTTTAGTGTGCAACATTAAGGTATCAGTTCTTGTTTTTTCTTCTTTATTTAGGCTCTATTGTGCAATCAATACAACTTCAGTTCTTTGAATGTGAAAAGGGAAAAATAGTGTGAATAGAAATATTTTTACTAAACTAGTTGCTTCAGAACAGATTTAGTCAATGTCATGATGATTTTCTAGTGCTTGTTTCTTAAAGTATTCCAGAAATGTTGTATGCTTTTTACATTACTGTTCTTGATTTCCCATGTTAGCTGTTGAAGTATTAAGTATGGTTTGAAAATGTAAACAATTATCAATGTTGATATTTTCCAGAGTTTTAATTGAGCTTGCAATTTCATGTGATAAACCGGGTCCTCAAGTATTTCAAGGCTTCACTGTCGGTTTTCATCCAAGATCATGGGAACTTGTGAGCAGCTTCTACCACTTACACTTATATGTATTTGTTTGCTTGAAGAAAATATGCATAACACCTGGAATTAAATTAGAGGATCCTCCTTTCCATCCTCACTAGATTATTGGAACATCAATTTACTCCTAAAAAAACAGTGACATCAAAAGTGGTTTTCAAATGATAAATTTTGGTCATTGAGGAATTGTTTTATAGACAAATTGGAACATATAGAACATAACATATGGGGTGTTGTATATTGAAAATAGAACAGGACAGAACATGGAAATTAAAAAGTGAGACAATTTGATTCTATTAAAAAGGGTAGAACCGAGAAGAAAAGAACAAACCCATTCTGGTATTCATTTTTTATCATCAAGTATTCTGTTTCTCTCTTTCTTGGTCGTATGCTGGTCCCGCTTTCTCTATCACATTCTGGCATGCCACCCATCATTTACCATCACGTTCTGTCTGGGTGCATTATTTTCCAATTACTTTTTTTGATATTCAGCTTATTTGTTTAATTGCTTTTCAGTTTATTTTTACCTTTGGTGGTCAGTGGTACTATAACTCATTTCCCAATTATTGTCTTCTGAATTTACTTTTTGTTTCTTATTCTCCTATTTGCTGTCATCTCCATTTTCCAGTATAGTTTACTAATTTGTTTTCATGTTTCACATTTTCCTATGTATTGCTTCAATTATTAAGATAACCAGCAATATTGCTATTAGTATTTTAAAATACATGATACAATACAATTCTCACTACTGCCAATGCGGATCAATGAATGAACTCAAATCGCACCATGAATAACTTGAATTGTGAACAAAGCGTCTGAATCATGTACTTCACATGAATTGTGCAATTATTGTGCAACTAAGGGTCATAGCATCCCCTTCAATAAACCCTAAAAAAGACCCTTTTTCACAAAACAAAAAATAGTGAAAAAAAAGAGAAGGGAATGAGCTGATTCTTTTTCTTCAATCAGACCCTGGTTGACTCATTCTTCCTTTACTCTCTTTTTGCTATTTCTTCTTGTCCTCTGCTCTTTTCCTCTCCTAGTCTGCCCCATTGTGCTTTGTGCATGTCCCAGTCACTTTTCACACTATTTAATTGTGCTGATTTCAACATGCTAATACACACATTTTTTACTTTTGATATTTCTTTATGTTAAAAGCTCCTTGTATCTTATGTTTTATTGTTGATCAAGAATCTTGCAATTCATGATATGGTTTGAGTCACAATTTGGAAAATAAGCCTTCTAATTCACAATTTGAATCTTGACTTTACTACCTTGACCAACAACATTTGGTGACATCTTGGTTGATTAATAATATGATTTTGTCATTATATTTTATTTTTTTTAATTCAAAATTTTTCTGTCAATTTTATATTTTATTAAATGTTTAATATTTTGCAATTATCATATAATAATTAGTAATAATCATCAAATGATATTGGAAAAAAGATACTATTTTCATTTTTTCATGCTCAACCAAAGGACTGGTATGGTGTTCTGTTCTCTTTAGTAAGTGTCAAATGCAAAATTGAACATATGGTTCTGTTCAATTTAGAACTTATCATACACAATAGGCAGGACATTATTGACTTTTCTCCAATTTTGAAGTTATCAAACACAATATACGGGACATTTTTGTCTTTTGCTAGGTTATCAAATTGAGATTCAAATCGTGAATTATTGAGCTAATTTTTCAATGTGAATCATAATTTGTATGAATCCATAAGGTTTAGTTTAGAGACACTGAAAAATTACTTCTAATATATGGTATAATGCTATAATTGATATACAGTATTCAATGTAAAATTTTTAGACAAAAATAAATTAAACAACTTAATCAGAAGTCTTATAAACAAAAACTATTAGTTATATTTGAGTTTGTGAAGTCTTTGTTTTAGAAGAATGTAAACAAAGCAATTAAAAAGCTAAAATAGCTAATAGAGTAAATGCATTGTTTGAGTGACAAATGAAGTAGTGGAGTAATCAAATAGGATAAATTTAGAAGTGTTTTTTCAATTCCTTTTCATTTAACAATTTAAGTAATAGGACTTTCCAATTTTTTCATGAGAATTGGTGAAAGAAAAGTAAAAAAAAAAAAATGAATCATTGAATTGTGTGATTTGTATCAGTGATACAAAATTGCACAAAATCATTCATATATCACAAGATATAAAGTCATTTAAGATTTGCCTGATGATATGAATCAGTAGGTAGTCAAATCATAAGATTCTGACAAGTCTTGGTCTTTTTGTTCTATTCTGTTACATTCTATACTGTTTGTGAGTCAAACGCTACTTGAATAATTTCAATTTGGTCCCAGTAAGCAGTAGCTTTTAGACTTTGTTTTTGGTAGGAAAATTTAGACCATTTCGATATTAAAAATCATTCAAGGACCAAATTAATGTAATACTGATAGGCCCGAGAATGAAACCCAAAAACAGACCCTACAAGTCTATTATAGGAGGAAGAATAAAAGAGTGAATTAGTTAGTTAGGAATCTGTTATGAATGTATTTCAAAAATAAGGTGTAAGGGGTCAGTTACAGTTGCTGATTTTTTTTACTATAAATAACTCTCTAATTGGAGAGGTAGGGAGGAAGGTTATGTTTTAGGTGACTGGGATTTCCGGTGTGAAAGGAGAGGGCTCCTTTGAGTGCATTGTGTACAATTGTTAATGGTTTACTGATTCTGGCTAATACAGAGGCACTATTTTCTCTCTTTTCTGTTCTGTTTTTCTTGGTGTTCCTTTCTGTCAAAGAAAGGATCCTAACAAATGCCAAAAGGAAGCATAGGTTTATTATACTAAATTTAGTATTATAAACTTACCATTTAGTATTATAATACTAATTTTCTATTAAATTGAATTATAATGCTAAATTCACTTTTTATGAAATTGTAGGTTTATAATGGCATGACTCAAATTGGTTTTGAGAAACCCTACAATGAGTTTAGGTCAGGATTGGTGCTGCTGTCGCTTCTTTTAGTTAATCATTGACATTTTATTCTTCTGTTATCAGCTGTAGTGTTTCACTTACCCAAGCTTTCCTTCAATTATTACCAATATGTTGTGTTATTCTTTTTACAGCTTTCCAACAGGGCAAACTCAGGTAGTCCTGTTTATGACCGCAGTTGCTTCTCTTTCTTCCCTTGTTCAAAACCCTAGTTTAAAGGTACATATTTTATTGGTTTAGTTTCTGGGGAATTGTTTTAATTAGGCTTTCCTCAAGCTACTGGGGACATGACCATTGTTGACTGCTGCTAATTAGGTTCTTCCAGATAATGGCTTGGAAGTTAAATTGTCTGGATCTGCTGCCAAAGGGAAGCCTCCTACAACTTTGTCACCCTCAATGTTGGTTGTTGATTGGAGATGTATGATCCCACTTATTTAGGAGCATCATTGTCTTGCTGGGTTATCATTGTTAAACTTTAATGTTTCAAATCGTTTCTAGGTGAGGTGGCCCGTGATACCCCATATGAAGTTAATATCACAATCCCAGTTGAGGGTTATGAGCCAATTCATTTTGTGCTTACAAAATCATGTGGTGAGTGATACTAACTCACCTAGAAAATTTAAATTCTACTACTATTCCTCTTGTTCCCAATATGCATTTAATTAATAGGAAGACTGAACAAGTATGGGGATTATGCCATTGGTCTTATAATTTTCTTTTTTTCTTTTAACTATCATTTCTGTTGAACGAATGGCTAATTCTGTTTATTTATTGTTGCAGACTATAAACAGGCTATAGGGGGAGGTCGCACAAGAGGATGGGCAATATTTGGAGTGCTATCTTGCATGTATAGAAACTTTCTTATATTTAATTTATATTCTTTTTATGCCAACTAAAAGAATAAAACCTAGAATTAGGGGCTGAATACTAAATGTAGTTCATAAAATAAGACTTACATGATTTCATCTTGTCATCATATACACATCTCAGTGTTTTGCTATTATTTTTCAATGCATATTCAATATATGGGAACATGTTACTGGGCAGATTTTTTGTTTCTTCGACACTCTTTTGTTGTGGAGGGTTCATTTACAAGATGAAAGTGGAACGCCAGGTCAGGATTTTTTTCTTTCACTTGCAAGCAGAAGATAGTTGCTATGTCTGTTCTGTCATAGCTTATATCACATACATCTTAAATATCTGTTATGTTAACCTTCTGCAGCGTGGAATTGATGCATTGCCTGGCATGACAATCCTATCTGCCTGCTTAGAGACAGTGAGTTTCGACCTCCTTACTAATATTTATTGGAACTTATGAATGATAATGGTTTTATTCTGAACTTTATAGTATATTAGGTCTATGTTAATAATCAACAAGTTAGTCTTTTTAGTTCCGACTTTGACATCACTCTAATAAACTTCTAAACCATGGATTTGAGAAATCTTAAGCATATGTTAAGCCTGAGTTTATTATAATTTTTATATTTATATTTATCCCAAGGGAAAAGAGGTGGGAGAGAAATTTGGATGAGAAAAATTCTTGTGCAGTGAAATAAGAATATATGATAAGTGGAGAGTGAATATTGGTTTATATTCTTAAATTAATTTTAATTTTTATATTTTTATTTATTGGTCTAAAAAAAACATGTGAGAAGACAAATGAATAGAATAAGAACTTTTTTGCATCTTTATGGACAAAATAAGAATAAGAATAAAGAGAATGCTAACAAGTGTTCTTAGGGGAATTACTCAAGCAATCAAAGAAAATAGTTTTTATGGAAAATTGTTATCCAGAAGCCCCCAGTGATTTCCTATGCAACCTTACTATAAGTTCTAATAAAAAATTCTATTCATAAATTTCTTAACTAGTGCCCATAAGATAGTCGTTAGCAAGACCCTACCTAAGAATAATACTCCCCTGTTCTCTTCATTAACGGAAGATTTGGCGTTAGAAGTTGTTTATTTAAATATGCAGAAGTGCAATATTGCATAATAATGCTAAAAACACAAGCTTCGACATGTTATTTCCAACACATTTTATCATTGGGTAAATTTCTTGCGTATCTCGCTATAAACTTGGATTTACTTGTTTTAGTTCGACTTACATAAAATTCACCCAATATTAGAGAATGTGTTGTTAAGAGTGTACTGTTAGCTTGGCTTGCTATTGATATAATTTTAAAAGCATCATAGGTTTGTTATTGTTACTTAAATTTTGTACTTTTTTCAAACTAGTAAAATCCAATGAAATATCATGGGAGTTTACACAGCAAAATCAATACTGAAGTTTGTAAGTTTGTTTGGTAGGATTGCTTACTTCATTGGCTTATCTAACAGTTGTTGAATGTTTCATGGAATAGGTTAGTGGAGCTGGGCAAGGCTACTCAAGGCCAGAAGACATCAATAGTGCCGTTGCCAGTGAAACCTCTTGGGAACGTCCTCCTGGTCCTTCTCAAGGTGCATGGAGACCAACAGAAAGAAATTATGGCTCCATTTGAATGTGTACCACCACTCATTTTGCTTTGTTTACTGACAGTTCCCCACCATGTTATCTAATTTTTGGATCAACTCAATTTATGTATTTCTTTGTATACATAAATTCTCAGCTAGAAGTAAAGGGAGGTAATTATAGCATGAATCTAGACGCTGAATTCCATTTAATGGATTGTATTGAAATTGAATTTTGATAGAGTTAAATCATTGTTTGATCCATTTTTATAACATTTAATGACTGTTTGGTTTGCTTTATTTTTACAGGTGTAATTGTAATTTTTATCAATTTCTTGAAAAAAAATAATAAAAAGAACGATTATTTCTCAAACACTAATTTATGCTAAACGTCCTTAGTGGGATGATGTTTGCTTGTGATAATGTTTTTTTTGTTGATGTGTTAATAATGTTGTTCAAACTAATAGAAATGTGTTGTGTCAAATTAGTAGCAATTCTGATACTATAGAAAACAAAATTGACTGAATGTAATTGATGGTATCAGTGGGAAACCTTAATGTTTCCTTGGCTATGATGAGCTTTATAAATTTAAGTTTCTAGGATAAATACTTTATGGATTTTAAGTAAAGAAATCTATCTCATCCAAATGTGCTTTGATTATAAAACTTTGGATGGCTTTCAAGGCGGTAGAGGTTCTGACTCTTGCAACAAGCATGCCCTCAGATTTTGATACGAATTTATGGTCTTTCAAATCCTACTTACATTTTTCATGCAATGATCCTATCAAGTGTAATGTACACATCCTATAGAGTAGAGCTTCACACATCACACAAAAAATCAAGTTCATATCTTACTTTTTCAGATGAAACAGTACCCCTGCTTACTGTTGCACGAGTTATAACCCTCAAAGTGAGTGAGTCAACCCTCATAGCCGGTCATGAAGAGTGGTCCACGATAGATCATAACTTATTAGTATTTTTTATTTAATTGTTAATGTTTTGTATAATAACATTATATTATATTTATTTTGAAATATTTATGATAAAAAATTACTCTAATTTAAGTTTTATATTTATTTTATTCTATGATTTAGTTATATATTTTTTTGACAGCTAGCTAATAGCTATATACTTCATTCTCTCCTTTCTATAAGACACTTCTAATCTAATTAATAGATTAATGTAAATAGTTATATTAGTTGATTTTATTGGATTTGTAAAATAAAATCATGATATCATTTTTACTCTTTTAACGTATCATTAATTTTTCACGAGATGAAAATATTATTCCATATCAAAGTTTATGCATCAATATAATAAAATTGATAAATGATATTCAAAGAATTTAAGTGGTAAGGAAAAAATATTTATTTCTCAAATTTTCTTCTCATTATCCAACAACATATTTTTACAATATTTAATAGAAAAAAGATGAAAAATAAAATTTTCATATAAAAAATTTAAAATACTTTATATAAAGGATCACAATTTCTTTGTAAATTGTGTCTTATAAATAGAATTAGAAGTAATATAATTTTGAGATTTATATTTTTAATCAAATTAAATTGTCCCATTATTATTCTATATATTGTTGAGTTTTAATTTGTTCATTTTTGATATTTAAATAAATAACCTATCAAGATAGAGTTATTTAAAGATAGATAAATTCTACCCCATCCCCTTACACACACCACAACAAATTATTAGGAAAGAAAAATAAACTCCATAAAAATAATGGTGTGTAAGTTAGACTATATCTCTATTTTATTTGTTGTTGTATCTATTGTTTCATCATAGTAATATTGTTTGATACAAGTGATAATAATTTGTGTTCTTTAATCAAAATATTTTGGATTCAAATTTGGTCTTTAATAGAGATTAGTCACCACTTTTATCGATGGACACATATCATATCAAATCATTTTTGATATTTTAGTTTTGAATACTTTTATTAAGTTATTTCTATCAGAAAATTTATTAAATTTAACAAAAATCTATGTGAAATAACTTTTTCTCTTATCAAAATAGGGGATTTATAGAAGGAAAACAATTTCCTAACATTTGCCGTTAAAAGAAAAACTTTCATTTATTAATTAACCGTCTAACATAATAAATTAATTCGAGTTGATAGTTTTATAACTTACCAAACAAGTTGAGTTAGCTTGCTAATAACTCAAGTCACAATTTTAGATCAATTTGATTTGACAACTCTAGCTCAACTCAAGTTATTATATGATAAAAGACAAAGAACAGTCGACATAGTTCGAACTAACACAGCTTATAATCCAAGGCTACCATTATCTTCAATGGTCATAGCATATACTATGTATTAGGCAACATTTAAATTTGTAGTAAGTAAAGCTATGCATATAATGCTAAGCCAAAAGAAGACAAACCCAGGTTGAAGATTAGCTTGTTATTCTGGAAAAATAGTTGGTATCCAACCATACCTATTCCGTTCAGTACATTGCATCACAAATCATCTATTATTCTCTTAACACATAAAATCAAATATATATAAATAAAAAAAATTGAACAATTGTTGAAAGTTTTGAAGTCAAAAGTCAAAATTGAGCGGGGCAGCTGAGAACTATATATTTGAGGGGTGACATTGTCAAAAAGTTATTATGTCTGTATATAACTGGGTAATTAAACTTTGGTTGTACAAACGAATGTGAAAATCAACTAAAGGAAATATTTAGAAAATTCATTTGGGAGATTCATCGTTAATTAATCCAACCAAGGAATAGAATAATTTTTTATTTGACGTTTTCTATTTTCATTTTCTAATTTTATTTTATTTTTGTTTGAAAAAGTTGTATAGAAAACAATGAAATTGTTTCTTGTTTCACTTTGGTACACGAACTATGCCTCTTCATGACTTATGTGTACCCTTCTCACGTTGCGTAGTCATTTCGGCAGAAAAAAACATAACATGAAAAAAACTATATATGACAAAGAGTAGATTTTGTACCCACATCATCCTTTCCAACTAACGGTGAATTATACACATAAATGTGATTAATGTTACTTTTATAAGTAACTACTTTTATAAGTAACTAAGACTAAATAAATATTCCTTAAAAAAGAGTAAATAAATATAATTATATGTAGTTAATAGTTAACATTAACTTTTTGTGAAATAAAATTAACTATTCTAAATTTCATAACATTATCAGTTAATTGTGAGATAAAATTAATTATTATTATGCATTTTATAATCTCGTCATATAATTAATCACATATAAATAATTATATACTATCATATTCATTTATTTTTAATTACTTATACAATAAAGTTAATAACATTTATTCATTATAGTTAATTACGTACAATGATCAATAACTTCATAATACTATTAACTTTTTAAGTCAATAATTAGATATTTTAATAATTTATCACATTTTTAACCATGTATTCATTGTTATATATAGTTATATTAATTTAGTTTTAATAACTTATAAGATATAATAATAATAATAATATGTATTTATCCATTTATATATACATATTATAAAGAAGATACAATTCGGTAACCATATTTTTTTTATTTCTATTTTAATTTAGGAACTTTTTAAAATTACTCATTCTTTTTAATAAATAAAAAAAAACAGTCTCCTGCCCATTTATATGTTACCTATTTTAAATCTTAATGTTTTTTTTACAATCATCTTCTCATACAATCCTTCAAAAATAAATATAGAAAAATATGAAATGTCTCTTTCTCCTATTAATTATATATTTTTTGTAATCATTTTTTAATTTTCAAGTTAATATAAACATTTTTACCTATTATTTATATTTTTTTTTTGTCATTCTACTCTAGAACCAAAATGAAACCGCTCATATAAATAATAATTAATTTTTGTTTTTTAATGCAATAAAAAAAACAACAAAATAATCATCCATTTATTTTATTTTATTTAGTAAAGACATAAAATACGTATAATAAATGGGATAAGTATCTCATCTTTTGAGGTACCTCCAACGTAGCGAGGAGATTATAGTCACTGCTGTCGGCAGTGGATACTCCAGGAACGAATCTAAAAAAATGGGATAAGTAAATAATCATTCACTTATCCTAAGGAAGTCAACGGAGCAGGTGAGTCAACTTTAACTTTGTATGTACTCTCTTTAACAAGAAGCAAATGGTAACCTGCAGATTGACCAAAATGGCATTTGAATTTGTCGTATTTATCTATGGGACTCACCTAGCTGCTCGTCAACCATCCAAACTTTAATTAAGTTGTTGATTAGAAGGCAATTACTCTTCCACCCTAAGATTGTACTATAATATAAGTACTTCCTAATTGATAAAAAAATAAATATAAAAAGATCACTAAGTTTCGCATTAATTAGTTGTACAATAAAATATAATATTGGTTAATACAAGTGATAGAGATTTATGTCTCTTAATTAAAATGTTTAGATTCAAATCTTGATTTAGAAACATGAAATGAACTATGTTAAAAAAAAATATTCATTTCATGTTTTCATAAAAAGAAAGTAAAACAACAAGATGGAGTATATTGAATAAAAAGGGAGAGAATTAAATCCAGGTTTCTTTTACACCAAAATTAAATGCAATCTTAGCCTTTATACTTTTGTGCAATTTTAACTTTTATATGTTTAATGGAGTAATTTTAGCTTTTGAATTTTTTCTTATATTAAAATTATATCTCATTGTTAAGATAACATCTAAATTGTACCTGAATTTTAATAAAAGTTAGAAGTGTAAATAGGTATGAGTAATTTATTAATATAAATTGATGCAAACCAATCCAATGAGTTCGGATTAAATTTTTTGGTATTCAGATTAGAATTAACCTAACTCGATCAAAATCTGGTACTGTACGAGTCGAATAATGGTTTTTGTATTTTAACTCATTATCGATCCGACTCAACCCGGTCATATATAATAATAATAATAATAATCATAATAATAATATTTGAATGATCATTTGCTTGACAATATTCACTGTCACTCTTACTTAATAATAAATATTGTGTTTTGGGCCGATAACATTATAATAATATAATATATTCATTTTAAATTTTATTTTGTATTAATTAATGTTAGTTTTTTGAGTTGATAATAATGTAATAAATTAATAAATTTATTTTAGAATTTAATTTGTATCATTGTTTGTTTTATAGGTTGATAACATAAAATTTGCAATAATGTATCAAATGATTTATATCTATTTTCAAATATTTAAATTTTACAAACTCCAAGTATGTGGTTTAGCGGTAGGGGTTGATCTACACTTAAACAAGGTTAGGAGTTCGAATCCTGCCTTGTATATGCAGCCGCGTTAAATCTTGGGGTCAACTATCCCACCCTTTGAGGTGCCTCCAACGTAATATCTTGTAAATAATTAAATAAAATTATGTTGATTTGATTAATTCAACCCAACCCGTCTTTGATTGAGTTGGATTGGATTGAATTTTTAAAAAAAGTTACACAAATCTAACTCAATCCAATCCGTTAAATTTTGATCAGATCAGGTAACATGGTTATCCAAATCCGAACCAATCCAACTTTAATCAAAGTTGCTACATTTAATATAATATTTATTGTTTTTTTATCGACCTGTTACTTTGATAAAGTAAAACATTTCACATCTTTCATTTTTAGTACCGAATTTTGTGCTTCAAAAAGCATTTTTTTTGTTCAGAATAGGTAAACACGCTTATGAGGTATATTTCCGAGACTTTGATGATAAAGTTCCTAGCTTATTAGACTTAAAAGCCTCTCTTTTGTTCCCAAAACATGTCTAAGACTTTACCAAAAAAACATGTATAAGACTATCCAATATATATTCAGCAACACTACTACATATTTAAAATAAACTTTGTGCTTTAGTTACATTTGTAAGACAACTGATTTCTTCAATCTTATAAAAACGTGCACTGTTTCTGAGAGCTTTATCTTCTTCCTGTTTTTTTTTCATCATTAGACTTATTTGTTTGTTTAATCAAAACATGAGAAGATCCTAATTCATCCTTAACAATTAGGTTGTTAATTAAGTAAAACATGATCAATATAAACATTTTTTATTATTATTTAGATATGAGACTAAGAAAGGATCCAATTTTAAGTTTTATCATATGATAAAATTCCGGACTGAAATTACTGAATTAAAGTAAGAAAACCAAAATTATAGTGTGTAAAAATAAAGGAACCTTAACTGTATTTAAGGAAAAGAAATTGTTACGGTTCTCGAAACAACAGTTAGGTATACTCGTATGTGACTTTAACTCCAAGAATACGACAACGTTGCTGAAGGAACAGGGTCCAAATATTGGCCTTCTCTATTTCAAACATGTTTGCTTCAAACTATTTTCTTACACAACTAAAGTTAAGTGATTATTAAGCATGCCAACTACAATGAAAAATATCTTAGGTATTCTTTACAATACTGCATCAACCCAATAAAAACGTGATATGTAGCAGCACATAATGAAGCTTTCGCGCCTTCTCCCCCTTCCTAAGTTTCCACACATACCTTACATATATATATATATTTTTTTCATTTTAATCTTTTTATGTATTTGGATATGCCCCTAGAACTATAATTTTCAAAGGGTCTAACTACACCCTAATAACCTGCCACATGACACAAATGTGCATGCATACCCTCAAATTGAAGTTATAATATTGTAAATTTTGACAACATTTGAATTGTTCAGACTAGTTCAAATTTGTTTTATAAAAAAGCTACTAACTCCGTGCCAGCCACACTTTGAATCGAATGACGCATAAAACGATTACTCTGAATCTCAAGTTTCCCCATATGTCAACGGAAGCGCCCAAGCGCGACCAATGGCAGTGGGAAAACGCCGCCGCTGGCGCCGCCGCCGGATTCACCACCGTCGCCGTTATGCACCCACTCGATGTTGTCCGAACTAGGTTCCAAGGTTCTCTCTCTTTTGTTTGTTTTATAGGTTGATAACATAAAATTTGCAATAATGTATCAAATGATTTATATCTATTTTCAAATATTTAAATTTTACAAACTCCAAGTATGTGGTTTAGCGGTAGGGGTTGATCTACACTTAAACAAGGTTAGGAGTTCGAATCCTGCCTTGTATATGCAGCCGCGTTAAATCTTGGGGTCAACTATCCCACCCTTTGAGGTGCCTCCAACGTAATATCTTGTAAATAATTAAATAAAATTATGTTGATTTGATTAATTCAACCCAACCCGTCTTTGATTGAGTTGGATTGGATTGAATTTTTAAAAAAAGTTACACAAATCTAACTCAATCCAATCCGTTAAATTTTGATCAGATCAGGTAACATGGTTATCCAAATCCGAACCAATCCAACTTTAATCAAAGTTGCTACATTTAATATAATATTTATTGTTTTTTTATCGACCTGTTACTTTGATAAAGTAAAACATTTCACATCTTTCATTTTTAGTACCGAATTTTGTGCTTCAAAAAGCATTTTTTTTGTTCAGAATAGGTAAACACGCTTATGAGGTATATTTCCGAGACTTTGATGATAAAGTTCCTAGCTTATTAGACTTAAAAGCCTCTCTTTTGTTCCCAAAACATGTCTAAGACTTTACCAAAAAAACATGTATAAGACTATCCAATATATATTCAGCAACACTACTACATATTTAAAATAAACTTTGTGCTTTAGTTACATTTGTAAGACAACTGATTTCTTCAATCTTATAAAAACGTGCACTGTTTCTGAGAGCTTTATCTTCTTCCTGTTTTTTTTTCATCATTAGACTTATTTGTTTGTTTAATCAAAACATGAGAAGATCCTAATTCATCCTTAACAATTAGGTTGTTAATTAAGTAAAACATGATCAATATAAACATTTTTTATTATTATTTAGATATGAGACTAAGAAAGGATCCAATTTTAAGTTTTATCATATGATAAAATTCCGGACTGAAATTACTGAATTAAAGTAAGAAAACCAAAATTATAGTGTGTAAAAATAAAGGAACCTTAACTGTATTTAAGGAAAAGAAATTGTTACGGTTCTCGAAACAACAGTTAGGTATACTCGTATGTGACTTTAACTCCAAGAATACGACAACGTTGCTGAAGGAACAGGGTCCAAATATTGGCCTTCTCTATTTCAAACATGTTTGCTTCAAACTATTTTCTTACACAACTAAAGTTAAGTGATTATTAAGCATGCCAACTACAATGAAAAATATCTTAGGTATTCTTTACAATACTGCATCAACCCAATAAAAACGTGATATGTAGCAGCACATAATGAAGCTTTCGCGCCTTCTCCCCCTTCCTAAGTTTCCACACATACCTTACATATATATATATATTTTTTTCATTTTAATCTTTTTATGTATTTGGATATGCCCCTAGAACTATAATTTTCAAAGGGTCTAACTACACCCTAATAACCTGCCACATGACACAAATGTGCATGCATACCCTCAAATTGAAGTTATAATATTGTAAATTTTGACAACATTTGAATTGTTCAGACTAGTTCAAATTTGTTTTATAAAAAAGCTACTAACTCCATTCTTTCCGTCCTCATTGATGAGGATTTGAAAATTGGTTAGCTACCAACTCCAACTTTTTTCGTTCCTTCCTCTCACCCCTTCTTTGTAATAATTTTCCGCCATGTTGCTCTCTATAAATACCATTTCCTACCACAGTACTCATGCAACCAAGTTTTAGAACTTCTCTTCAACCATTCTTCTATATGTCTCGTAATTTGAAGTGATCATTGAAATAAACAACAATGGCCAATTCCATGAGTTTTCTCCTACTTCTTTCTTTACTAGCCTTTGCTCCTTTGTGCCTTTGTCATAATAACGTAGAGGGTTACCTCTACCCTCAGTTTTATGACTATTCATGCCCTCAAGCTCAGAATATTGTCAAGTCCATCCTTGCCAAGTATGTTGTAGAGCAACCCCGATTGGCAGCTTCAATTCTCAGGCTTCATTTCCATGATTGTTTTGTCAAGGTCTCTCCCTATGATTTATTGCACAAAAACATTACATTATTAGCATCAGTATCATAGTTATGTGATATTAGTACTTGGTCTTTTTGGTAAACATTTGGTTATGTTATTATGTGATGTCAGTACTTAGTCTTATTATTGGTAAACATGTATAGTTAAGCTATATCAAATGCTGAATTCTAAGATGATGATGTTGCAGGGTTGTGATGCTTCATTGTTGTTAGATAGCAATGGAGGCATCATCAGTGAGAAGGGGTCAAATCCCAACCGTAATTCAGCTAGAGGATTTGAAGTCATTGATGAAATTAAAGCTGCACTTGAGAGAGAATGCCCTTCTACAGTGTCTTGTGCTGATATCTTGACTCTTGCTGCAAGAGATTCTGTTGTTCTTGTAAGTACATATATATTTTTTTATCGAAAAGAATGGAACTCGGTACCAAGGAGTTATTTGTTATAACTCACGCACACTACTTAAGTAAGCAAGCTAAATCTCCTTGATTTATGCTTGCAATAGTAAAGTTACAACTAGTATTATTTTTCTGTTTTCTATACAAACTTTAGGAAACAGAAAATAAAATTGAAACTAAGTGATATTTTTGTATTTAAAAGTGAAAACAGAAATAAGAATAAACAACATTTTCTCAAATTAAATGGTCTCTTAACTTTTCACTATCAAGACTTTGCCATTTTTATCAAGCCTGATTCACTGTCCCTTTTATTTATAGACTGGTGGACCAAGCTGGGAAGTACCTTTAGGCAGAAGGGACTCTCGAGATGCAAGCATAAGTGGCTCCAACAACAACATTCCAGCTCCAAACAACACATTCCAAACCATCCTAACCAAATTCAAGCTTCAGGGCCTTGACCTTGTTGATCTTGTTGCTCTATCAGGTATACTCCTTAAACCAGTCAGTTTCTAGTCTTTTGTGCTCAGATTGAATTATTGGTAAATTTTGATTGGCATAATCATCCAATTAGGCTAATGCAAATATGTTATCCATAAAACCAACCTCAAGGATAAGACTTTGTTGTTGTTTAATGATATATATATTAACACTAGAATAAGAAAGGTTGTCCAGTGATAATGTAAAACAGTTTCATACTAACATTCAATCAGGGATCACTGATCACAAATAAAAGTTATACCAACGATGATTTTTTATTGGTCGACAAAATTTATTATATTGATAATGCATAACTATTAAATACTTAATAATTCCCATGTGACATGCACCAACCCAAATCAAAAGTTATCTCAATTTCTTTCTCTAACAATTTTTGTGCAATCGCTATAGGTGGCCATACCATAGGAAATGCCAGGTGCACCACCTTCAGGCAAAGACTCTATAACCAAAGTGGCAATGGGGAGCCAGATTCCACTCTTAACCAATACTATGCTGCATATTTGAGAACTAGATGTCCAACATCAGGGGGTGACCAGAATCTGTTCTTCCTAGACTATGCCACCCCATATAAATTCGACAACAGCTACTTCAAGAACCTCTTAGCTTACAAGGGTCTCTTAAATTCTGACCAAGTCCTCTTCACAATGAACCAAGAATCAGCAGAGTTAGTGAAGTTGTATGCTGAAAGAAACGACATCTTCTTTGAACAATTTGCCAAGTCCATGGTCAAGATGGGAAACATATCTCCTTTGAGGGGTCCAAGGGGAGAGATCAGAGAGAATTGTCGCAAGATTAATGCTTGAAGAAGCAATATCATTGCCTACATTAAGTTACTTGACAACATTATTTTTTTTGTTTCTTTTGTTTGTGCTGAAAGTAATAAAAGCAGAGTTCGCCATTGGCGGTGTGTGCTCTGGAGGCGTTTTATTTAGGCTTTAGATAACATAATTGTGTGTGTTTCAAGAAATTTGTGTATTTCAATATATTTCTAAACAAGTGATTATTTGTCAGTACTTCCTGTTTGAGAAACGAGAAGCAACCCGTGTAACTTCTTCCTATTGAAAAATAGGTTGAATTAATTTTTGGTTTAATGTAATATTCATTATAAAAAAAATCCTTAGCAAGAACGCTTCGAAATAATAATTTTTTGGAACACTATTTCCAATCAACATTGTTTCGGAAAAACAATAATCCGGATTAAGTGCATATCTAATAGTCTGAAATAGCAATTTCAGAAAGATTATAACACATCTATAATATTTTTTTTAGACTATGCTATAATGTTTGATTAAAGGGAACGGTTTTTATAAACTTCTTATTATTTGGTTTAAAATGGAAGGAATTTTAATATATTTTAATTATTTAATTTTTATAGAAATGTTTAAATTATTTGTGTTTTAAAAATTAAAAAATTTAAAGTTATAAAAATATAAAAGACTTAATTTTTAAATTCTTTCTTTTTTCCTTCGGAACAAAAAAAAAAAGTAATTATCTTTTCATTAAAGTTCTTTTCATAATTTTAAAAATCGGATCGATTATCAAAATGATTAGAGTTCTAGGTCGGTAGATCAAAGGTTGAACTGATAGATTACTAATTTTGAACCACATAACCCAATTTTTTTATTATTTTAAAAAAAATATTGATATTATATATATTTTATACTTATGAATTTCAATAAATTTATATGGTATTTTAAATTTTAATTTTTATATTATTTAAAATTATCTTTATTTATATTTTGTATAAAGAAATACATAAAAAACTTACATATTAAACTATATATTAATAT